GAGAGAGAGAGAGAGAGAGAGAGAGAGAGAGAGAGAGAGAGAGAGAGAGAGAGAGAGAGAGAGACGCGCCATGCTACTTCCATCGATAGGATGACCGGTATCGTGGTTCGAATCGGTTGTCCCGGTGTTCGGCGGATCCCGTCTTCGCCCGAGCGGCGGTCATTACCGGATCGGTCCCGCCGGTCGATTCGGTCGCCCCGGTGTGCGTCGGGTCCGGTCTGGGTGTGCACGGGGACGCAGGGCGAGGGCGGGTTCATGTGCGTCGGGTTTCCAGACGAGCTGCGCTGCCTGTCGGGGGGTGTGTGGGGACGCGCCGTGTGGCGAGACGTCGGCAGCGGGAGCGTTGCGATCGGCAGCAGGCAGCCAATATGCATGCATCGAAGGGGACGTGGCAGGTTGGGAAGTAAAACCGCTCTCGCGTGTGGGGCCGTGGCAGCGGGCGCGGGTCTCGCATGACGGCGGGGTCGCCTTTGAGAAAGAACCGGGTCTCACGTCTGCGACCCTGCCACCAGGGGCGCTGTCTCACGTGGGCCCGTCACGTGAGACCCTCCTTTTCCTTTAAGGTATTAGAGACAAGCCTATTTTATCAAACCGGAAATTTCTGGCCTGGATGTGCAAGGCCACAAGCTTCGGAAGGGAGCTTAGGGGTCTGAAGTTTGGGTGCATACTCACACTAGGACTTTTTCGACAAAGCTCTGGACGTGATTGGAGTCGAATTCATCCAAGTCTGGTCGTAATTGCAGTCAGGTGCAATTCAGAAAGTGCTAGTTTGAGTACGCACTAACTTGGGCGAAAAAAAAAAAAAAAAAAAAAAACCTTGGCCACAACAGGCAAAGGGTAGTGGTGATCTAAGGAGGTCTCAGCAGCTGAGAAAGGCACAATCACGCCCCCTTTCACTCCACAAAAGCCACCCTCTCATGGAAAGGGCAGTGGGGGACAAGCGTTCGCATGGAAATTTCTCTGGAATGAATCTGGACAGAAAGGAGTTGACAATGCATACAGTTGGGTCATTTGAGTATGTACATGGATGGCACCACTGTGAGGTGCAAGCATGATCCGCATGTTCACAGGGAATACATCCAGGTGAAGTCTGACGTGGACATTGCTGTCATTTCCAAATTAGAGGAGAGGCCACGTCAGCGACCCAATATAAGAGCCAAGTCATTAAGCACACTGGCATGACCACTGTTCCTAAAAGTCA